ATAATATTTACACTAAATTTTAATATTTTAACATTTTAGCATTTTAAAGTCAATTAGTTAACCAATTGTGCTGTGTACTTTTGTGAAGTAAACAACTTGTGTTTCGCACGCTCATATGACCTTAGCAGTTGCGAGCGCCGTAAAACCCTATACTACATACATACATACATACAAAGACATTCTGATTTCTTTTTGCCAGTTTCTTGTTTTATTGTTGTTTTTCTGTGTTTTTCTTTGTATTCTAAAAAAATTAATTGCAAATATATTATGCCTTTTATAATTGAAGTAGTTTTTACATGAGAAATTAAGCTCATAATGATTACAAGATTTCTTGGAGTTGAGTGAATGCAGAGGGGTAATTTCAGTATTTATTGATTGGTTAGCGGACACAACTCCTTTGTCAAGCAATGCCAGTAAAATGTTTTTAGATGAAATGTCGTTGAGGTGTTTTCTTGGGTATTGCTCGTCAGTTCTCTTTTTTATATCAATAAAGTCGTATTTTATTTCTTTCTCGTTTATTTCTTTTTGAAATTTGTTTTGCGCATTACTAAATTCTGTGATTCATATGGATATTTTCAGAAATATCAGCAGGAGGGAAAAATGTGCGAGCTGCTGTGCATGAAGCGATGAACCATCTTTTGAGTAAGTTTACCTGTGTGTCTGTGATGTCTTCATCTTTTATATGTCTTTTTGGCAGAAAGTCTAAAAAAGTTAAACAAAGTAATTTCACATAAGTTAGGTCAGTAGTTATGTATGGCTTTTCACCGTTTATAGAATTAAAAAATATTTGGTACTCTGTGAGATATTGCCATTTGAAAAAGGTCAACAACACGCACCAAAAAGTGGCTCTGATGAAAGACCAAGACTCGTTCCCATTTCCCTCTTCGTTACCACATGCTAAGTTATTTTCAATTGTGGGTCAAGAAGCCACTATAAATAAATCATTGTGGGTCAAGAAAGCAACCTTTGCCGGTGTTATAGTCTGTTTCTTACAAAGAAATGGGCAGGGATCACTTATAAAGTGCAGTCTGTTCGTATTTGATGTGTGTTTACGTTATTTTAAGCTGTAGAAATTTCCATCCCGATACTGTCGGGCTCAGGGCCCTGTGCAGAAGTGTGGAACCCGACTATCTCGGGCTCAGGGCTGAGTGAGTTAATTGACGCTAACATTGATAATACTAGAAGTGGATGTTTTTTCAGTATTCTACCAAGAAGCAGATGGAAGTGATATATTCTATTTGTAATGGCTTTGTATGCTGACTGGGGTGTCTGTGGACTGCCTGCCCACCCTGAGAAGGGGTCATTCATGTTAAGGATAGGAGGGTACAAGGGGTTTTCATGAGACTGGAAAGACCAAACTGCCCTGTGACCGTGTAATTCCGGTAGGGTTCACGCTTTGTATGCTGAAAAAGCCACACCTGGATTTTAAATTCAAATGCAGTTGAACCTGCTGTAACGACCACTTGTTGAAGACAGTCACCTGTACAAACGGCCACAGCTTATCTCTCCCCCCCCCCCCCCCCCCCCTGCCTTTTTAAACATTGTAATGACACTGAAACAGCCATCTGTCTACGACAGCCACTTTTTTGCTAGACACATCGCGATCTCAGTGCTTTCTTGTCGTATCTCCATTTTTTTTTTTACATTTAGAATGTGACTTTTTCTTAAGCTCACTCTTTGTTATGAACTGTTTTCACTGTAAAACAAAAATGGAGATACGACAAGAAAGCACTGAGGTCACGAATAGATGACTATCTAAGACAATTTCAACTGTAACTTGTTGCAATGTTCACTTGTCTTTCTTTGACTCACAGAGTATCTGAGCGAGTCAAGAGAGGATGACACCAAGAGCACTTTTCATGTCATCAAAGTAAGTACTCTTTTTAAAAATATTTTTATTTAGTTACAATTATGAACTTTGGATAATTGGGTACTTGGTGGTTTTGGGTTGGTGTGAGCCTGTATTTTGTTTCCCCAGGGTTCAAACTACTTACTGCTCTGAGTGGGGGAGGGGCAATGAGAGACTTTTATATCATTTTGGGGTAAACATAATTTTTATTAATTTTTTAAATTTCTGCTGTTGCCTTTTTTTTCCCATTCTTTTTTTATCGGTATCCCTGGAAATGCAATAGGTAAAGCTATTCCCCACTTAGGCAGGTTGTTTTTTTTTTGTTTTTCAATAGTCAAAAATGAAAAGACACTTGTATTGCACATTTTGTTGGTGATGCAGTCAAAGTTCCCTGGTAACCCTCAGGTAAATAGTGTCACATGGGTCTCAATATTCCGCTATTTAGCGGATTTCCGCTACCGCCATTTCCTCCGCTAAACTCTGCTACCGCGAAAGCGGGTCAATCAGAAAGAGAGTTGCTGGAAGCAGAGTGACTGCCAGGCCTCGGGAATTACCCGGGAATTTGAAAAAAATCGCCGAGACGTGGGAAAATACATAAAAGATCTCGAATATTATTTGAAAACCAAATCCGATAACGTCTTTAAGTTCATTTTTGCCGGTCGCGATTGTGATATTACTTCGGCTTTTCCCGGTCTGAGAGTATGTTTCACACGTACAGGCGGCTATGGCGGCAAGCGGAATTGTATGTGACACCGAGGCTCGACCGGAAAATCAAGATCTCAGAAATGTGTCTGCAAAAGTCTAAATACGCAACATTTGTAACATGCAGGTTCTTCATTACAAACGTGGTGTCACCATGAAAATAATGTTCGTCACTGTGCTGTCGCTTGTGGGGGAAAAAAAAAGAAAAGAAAGTTATACAAGCGTCTTGTCGGGCTCGTCATTGTGACCGGTCAATGAACCTGCGCGCGTTCTGAGTGCTGGACGCAACACCAGAGGACAAAAAAAGAAAAGAAATTGGAAGCAAATTTTAATATTTAGAATTTTGATTACTACTACAGCTCTCAGCAAAGTAAAGTGCGCGTTAGTGCATGCCTTGTGTATAATCGGGATCCGTCATAACTACTTGTAAGCGTGTTAATGAACTTAGGGCAAGGGCCTAAGTGTTCACGTTTCATTGGACACGTTTCATTGGATGGGTGAGAGTAAATTATGTCTCTATATTTTAGCTTTTTGTTCAAGATTCGCATATTTTCAGTGTCACTGCATCTTGCCCTCCCACAGTTCTTACACCTCTCACACTGAATAGGTTTACTTGAGCTATTCAAGTTATTATTCTACTTTGAGTTTGAGCATTAATTTTGTCTTTCACGTTTATTATATGAATCAATACACCCAGACTGGTTCATAACAGTCGATATTCTGGTTCTAGGCCTTTTCCCAGGCTCAAAACAAGATTCCTTTTGATATAGTTTATATATGCATGCGAATATGATGAAGGTAAAATATAAATAAGTCGCTCAAGACCACAGTGCGCCTCCACTTTCTGTTCGTAATCAAGATGGTAAATATTTGGTAAGTGACTCTTACTTAAAATTATCTTCCAAACCCTCAAACTGGTATGAAATAACCTTGCTTTGATAAATTGATGGTTTTTATTTCAACATTCTAGGGTCCCACAGTATAATAATAGTGGGTGTCTCGCGAAAATGGGCTTCTGTCGCGATCACGCGGAAAGTTCTTCCTTTTTAAAAATTCTGATTTGAGACCCATGGTGTCACTGGTTTTAGATTTTTAGTGAAATGTGTGTCATATCTATCATTTTTTAATGTACACGTATTCTTTTTGAATTTTCATGTTTCATATCCTCAGATCTATGAACTTCTGATGATGCATTATGGAACCATGAAAAATGATTTTGAAGGTCGCTGGAAAAGCTTTCATGTGGTCAAACAGGCTCTAGGAAATTCGGTGAGTACTTATATTGGTATTAAAATTTTAACATCAGGATTCTATAGTAATAGGAAAATATGAAATAAGTTTTTACATTGTTGTATAAGATGTAAACAATTTTGGTATCTTTTGGAATGGTTAAATAACGTCATATCAAAGTTCTGATTTCCATTACCAATGTAACATTCAAACATACAGACTTTGTACTTACTGTATTTTTTGTTTTATTTTGTATTCTCATTTCAGCTAACATCAAAAAAGAGACACATCCGGGCATTACTTATTGACAGGATGCAGCTTCAACATGAGGTGTGTAGACTTTCTTTAGTTGATACAGTGATCTGATATGTTATGGTTTGCTTTCGAGAGAACATGGAAGCGATTTCATTTGTTTTTTCAAACCAGGTTTTTTTTTTATATTACTGTTCTGTTATTGACATGTTTGAAAGTTTAAGATGAATTTTAATGCTACTATCACACAGACATGAGGATATGTCCAGTGATTTAAATCTCAAACTGTCTTCATAGTTATTTAGGTTTTTGATATTAAGTTATTATATTGATCAATAGTTAACAGACATGGTTGCATTGAATAGTGATCATTTGTTTGTTCTTTTAACTTTAGGAAGGGTGGAGAGCTCAGTTATAGTTAAATTTTTTTCTTCTTTCTTCTTGTATTTTCCTTTCAGCCCATTGTTCTTTTTGGGGTCTTGTATTTCATCCTCAAAATCACTAATTCTGTCTGCTTTAGATAACCAAAGCTTAAAGGAAATTAAAAACCCAAAGAACTAGCAATGAATATTCAAATCTGTTCATACTCATGAAGGATGATGTTAATTTGTTTTTGTTTAAATTGGACTCAAGTCAATATTTTAGGGACAGACTATATTTTAAAATGTAGTATTTTGATATTGCATCACTTCAGTGTGGTTTATAACGTCTTTTTTGAACTGTGTTCATTGTTTGCCGTAACCCTGCAGATTCGCATGCTCAACTTTTGTGATTGCCATTTCACGCAACGACATCAAACCATGCTGAATGAGCTGCTCAACTTATCTGTCAGTCGTTATCGAGAGGTGAGTATATTGGCGAAAAAAGACTTGACATACAGCTAGGCAGAGTTTAATTCTCAGAAATGAAACAGTGTATCATTTGTCAATTTAGAGATTCATACAGTGACTCAACAATTCTAGTCTTCTTACAGCTTGGCCGGTGCCATCGATCATTTCAGTTCTGGTAACGTATGTGGTATTGGGGAATGATGTATAACAATGGTGCAGTGAGGACTCAATGATGCCTCTGCAATTGCTAGATAGTATCTGACCCCTCTTCAATAATACAAGCCAGATTTGGCATCTTTTTTTATAATCTTCTCGTGCCATCTTATAGTCTTTTTTTTAGCTTTATTGTGTCGTGTCTCATAAATGGAAATCAGCTTGTGCAAATTGATTTTTTAATAAAAGTCATTTGAGGCAGATGGAGCATGTAATGAGTATAAAGCCAAAAAATCTGACCCCTTCGGTGATAAGATTCTGGCAGGGTTCCTACAATGTCCCACATGTTTTATAAATAACGTTTATATCGTTTGGTAAAAGAAAAGCATAGCCACCCAATTTTGAACTGTTTGACCTTGTGCACATCTTGGGTCACCGTGGGGATGACAGATAGGTTGCAGTTATGTCTCTCAGGAAGAGGAAACTGTGTTATGATCATCTTGATGCATGAAGATGTGAGGGGTTGTACCTTATGAACTTTTATGTGTGTTCTGCTGAAACCACAAAAAAAAAAGCCTGCAAGCTGCACACATCCACAGCACAAGTAGAAAGGAAGCTTTTAAATGCTTAAAATGTGACAAACTCTTCTCTGTTAGTATTGGTCTCATTGGCCCTTGCAGAAGCCATTGGTCATCTCAATTCTTGTTTCTTCTATTTTGCTTGAGAAAAATCCTCCTCTGCAGATGCATTGGCAGGGGTTCTGGTGTGGTTTGCTCCTTCTTTCCTGTCAAACATCTATCGTCATTATCCCTCCTCCTCCATTTTTCTCCAACCTTTGACACTGGTATAACCTTATAGTTTTGCAAGTTCTATAAAACTCATTGAAAATAAGATGATTAGGTTATCTTTAGATATTGATTGAAAAATTTTGACTATTATTATGTCTGCAGGTGAGGAAGAAGGCTCAGGCGTGCCTCAACCAGGCCTTCCGAACTTACAGCTACTCCTACCTCACCTGTCTGCCCAAGGTGGTGAGCAATTTGAAAGACAAGCAAGTGGAACAGCATGTCTTCAAGGTTTGTAACATCTGTTTTGTGTGATGAAGATAGGTTTGAAAATAAAAGAAAGGCTAGGGGGCTCTCGTGGTCTAGAGGTTAAGGTGTTGGCCTCTCATTCAAAGGTCCCGGGTTCGATTCCGGGTAGCGACCAAAAAATTTTCTTCTCTAAAATTGTCTCCTTTCACATCCTTTCCTGATCTCTAACAATGTTCTGTTGTCTGCTTTCATTTCCACTTTCTGCCCCCACCCCCTCACCTCCTTTGCCCCCTCCTCTGGGCTCCTGACTCTTTCTGCAGCCTTTCTACTGCTACTCCTTGGCTCCTCCTAACTGCTGTCTTTCTGCCACACCCCTGATCTTCTGGTAGGAAAGATCTACACCTAGCCTTCTCGGACAAGGGCGAAAAATCTCGGAGGGCCCGTGTGCAAGTTGCGCACGTTAGAGATCCCTTGGTGATCTAAAATCGATAAGAGTAGGCTTCGGCCGCTACCCGGGCAAAATTCTAAATTTCCTACCAACGAAAAAGTATTAGATGTGTCCCGCACGCTCATATGACCTTATGCAGTTGCGAGCGCCGTAAAACCCTATACTAAACAAACAAACCAACAAAGAAAGGCTATTTACTAGAGAAACTGCATATGAGGTTAAATAAAAAGTATAAAAGTGAGATGGTACAACTTTCCTTTTTTTTCTTTTGCACTTTTTTTTCTTTACTTCAAATTTCTACTCGTAGAAAAATAATGATCTTGGTTTATTAAAAACCCAAGGATTCTGTTTCTTTGGTGCCATGCCTTGGTTGAAAGGAGTACTCATTTTAAGAGCAAAAAAACAGACCCCAGCGGAAACTAAAGTATGCTGATTGTAAATTAGAAAAATGCACAGTTTGCTAAAAATGTTTGTACTTTTACCAACTCTTGCATCATTAATAGATGAACCGTAGTGAACCTGTTTTTTTTTTTTAAAGAAGAAAAGGCAGATTTTCGGGTAGTGAAAGCCCACCCCCATCCCCTTACCTAATGCACTTTTGGCATCTCCTTTGGGGTCACAATGGGGTTGCCTCTATGCCTTCTTTCAGGAACAAGAAAAGGCATTCTGTGATTATCCTGATGCATGTAGACTGGAGTGGTTATACTTTACTTTTTTCCGATTGTTGGATCTTGCACCTATCTGCAGTACGCTGACCACCATGTGGAAATTTATTTATGTACAATTGTTTTATCCACAGGGCAGTTTGTACATCGTGCAGGGCGGGGGTCGGGCATGCCTGGCCACGAAGCGCAACTGGGAGACGTTGGCGGAGGTGTGGCCCGCCTTGGTGCAGGCCCAGCAGTATGAGAAGCCTTCCATCCTCCACGTGGTGGACGACATTGTCAACAAGGTGTTCAAGTCGCTCGAGACTTTCTCCGTCACCTTCCAGGTTTGTGAGATTGATTTCGTATACAGTCGGACATGCTGTAACGCCCACTTGTTGAAGACAACCACCTGTACAAATGACCACTTCCTGCTTCCCCCCTTGCGTTTTTATTTTAGAAGCATTATATTGATACTGTTCAAAACATTCACTTGAGACAACTATGTTTCTCTTTGACGATGGTGGCCATCCCAGACACTTTTGGTTATAGTTTTGTGCTATGACCAGAGACGTTACTTGTCGTTTTTTGTCAAACAGCACTGTATTCTTTTTGGTACTATCACTAGAGGCTTTCTCTGTTCTTTGTCAGTGTGGGTAGTTGGAGAGCGCCAGTAGTAGGTTCCACTTTTTTTTTTTCTATCTGTATGTTGTTTCTATCTGTCTGTCTATCTACCCTGTCTTTTCCTAGCACTAAATCACCATTATTGTGTCAATTAGCTTATCTTTACTCGATCTCCCAACACAAATGGCCTCTGTCAGGTTTGTCATTTGAGTACAAATTAGGTCTGTCAAATAGCACCACATTCTTTTGATTCTATTTCCAGAGAGTTTCGCCATCACTTATCTGATTTGTCTTATAGTGCTGCGATTTTGAAAGTAGGATTGTCTCATTTGGTTAAAAGTATTAGAGCAATCTTTGATGTTCAAAATTGCCAAAAATTTCTTTTACAAGTTTTGTTTTTTTATGGGCATGTTGTGATCATGTGTTTGGGAGTTTAGAAAATGCTGAAGTGGGTCTTCTTTTGACAGTCTCGTTTGCTTATGTTGTCTTCTTCGATAAAGAGTCTGACTGTCATTTTACGCCACAGTGGTTCGTTTGAAACTCCTTTGCTAATGATTTTAGTGTTTCCAGCCTTAAATTTTACGTTCAAGTCTCCTTACGGAGAAAAATTATCATCCTCACAATTATTGTGACTGTAGTTTGTTACGTGTGGGTTCAGCATCAAATGATTCCTGGTAATGCAGTATCGCTGCAAATGGAACATACTTTGTTTGCTGGTCTACTACGAGGGAGTCCAACTACTCCACTGATCCGGTGCCACTCTTTCGCCACTATCTCTCTGATATTAGCCTGGCATTTTTTCTCAGGTCCTACTACTCCTTCTGTCCAGCTCTTTTGGACTGATCCCTCAACAAAGAATTTATTTTCGGAGGGGTAGGGATAGGCTTTGATACAACTCATAGTGAGGGACTGGTCTTCAAAGAGATGAAAAACATTTCTGTTTAGGGTTTAAACTTTACCAAAACAAACAAAACTCTGGATGGTTGGAGAGAGCCGCTGGTAGGTCTGACTTCCTTAACCTTCCCTCCATGTTGTTTCTGTCTTGTTTGTTTCACTTTTCCTCACACTAAATGACAGGTATTGTGTGGATGTATTTCTTTTTACTCACACACTCGATCAAAGACTGTAGTTTCCGAGTATTGTTAACCCTTTCGCACTTAGCAGGCTTGGCCAGCTGTGGCCCCCCATCCTTAAGACAAGGGCAACAACTCCACGAAAATTGAAGGGGTACCTTACTAAAAAATTGTATAAAATCACAAACACAACAAAAAATTATGAAAATAGTATTTTCTGAAAGGAAAATGAATGTGCTAAATTACTAGTACAAAATTTTAAGTGGAATAGAAGAGTATGAAATGATATGAGAGGTCTTTCTGAGATGCGTGTCTTGGATTCCGAGTCTAGATCTAGATCTAGACCTCGTATACTAGATCTACATTTCTTCAACTCACGAAGTTTCTGCCACTGACAAAGAGGTAATCCACACAAAAGAAATACAACACATTCACAGAGATTGAAGCCTCTGGTGGAAACTTGAAAGCACCTAAAAGACTTTTCTTTGGATGTTTTTATTTTGTTTTTGCCGTACTCATATCGGGCAGCTTTGCACCCATGCATCCTAGAGACATGATGGCGTGTTTAAACTAAAATCTCCTCCGACTTTTGTTCCCACTCAAAAAGTGACTCTTTGTCCTACGAAACAAGAAAAACACCATAGTAAACCGGAACTCTTCCTCTATAAAGATAGCTAAGTTAAACTTCTGATGATAGTAAAAGTAGAAGCCTCCCGCGGCAACGAAACAAACACCCCCGTGGCGAAGGCATTCGGGCGCTATAGGGATGAGCGGGGGTCACCGGCGCGGGCGCATACGGGCGCTGTAAGTGCGAAACGGTTAAAAGAACACTTTTTTTCTATTTGTTTTCTCAGGTGTCGGACAAGGTGATCAGTACAGCAACAGAACTCAGTACAGCCTCCTCTGCCCCTGCTCCTTTAGTCGGCGCTGCTACCCAAGCAGAGCTGGAGAAGGGAGTTCAGTATGAGAAGAAGAGAAATGATGCTGCATTGAAGTGAGTGGACACATGCCATACTTTTTAATGTTTTCATTATGTTGCTCTTGTGCTTCTTTGAGTATATACAAGCTCATGGACATAGTATCAGTAATTTGGCGCTGGGAAAAAGTAACACGAGCAGATAAGAAAGAGAACGAAAAGAAGAAAGACATACCAGTGACCCTCTCCAACTACTAGCTGCTCTCATGTTGCACATTGATGAAAAGATCTGGTCAGGTACAGTTGAAGTGATACAAGAAGGAAGCACAGAGGGGATCAGGAAAAAATAATGTCTTGGATAGGGGAAATTGAAGGGAAGGGGGAGGGGAGTTTCCAGAGGGCCAGCTTATATGCGTACATGCTTAGATAATGACATGTGGCAATCTTAAAATCCATTGCTACCAGTACTTGCATCTTATTAGGACTACTGCTTTACCAATTAAAAACAGAAACAATTGAACATCTCCTGTGTTTCCACCCTGAGCCCCACCCGTTGATGCAATGAGCACTATCAACCAATGCCACCCTTCCCCCCCTATTTGCCATGTTAGTTCGTGAAATCAATTTCAAGAAAAGTTGCAAGTCTTTTAATTTCTTGTTGTGTGCTGTAATAAGCAAGAGAGAAAGCCGAAACTGGTGTGTGTAACAATGATTCTGGAAACTTTTTACTTGGTAGGCTGTTCAATCAGGGCAATAGACAGTGGTCAAATTTCACACCTCTATTATCCTTGACAGTTCCTGTGCTGAGCACACACCACCCTAAACATCTGCACCACTCGGGGATCCCATATGGGATAATAACAACCCCTAAACTGCATCCCTCCTGGGAGGGTTTCCGTCTTTAACAGATGTAATACAGAGGAATTTATCAATGGGGGAGCAAGGAGATTCCACCATGAAGGGTTTCTGTCCTGGATAGGGTTTCAGTGTATTTAAGATTTGACTGTATTAGTACATTTCTTAACTCGTTGACACATACTATTTTATTAATTTTTTTATTTTTATTGCAGGCACAACAAAAAGCTGACCGATGAACTTCTTACTTTAGTTGAAAGCGGCACCTTGTAAGTTTTGTACTCGTGTGTACTTGTCTTTTGAGTAAATTTTGTTTACATAATTTTGTTTGCAAGATGGTCCTGGTTTTCTATTCTGCCCTCTCTTTTTCTGTCAAATGTAAAAAAAAAAAAATTTGGGGGGGGGGCCAGATTTTTAGTGGCTGTCAATTCTTTGATGTATTATATTTTTGTTTCTGTTATGTCTTGAATGTCAATTGTGTGTTCACACCCAATTTTTTCTATACTACTCATTTATTTATTTAATGTTTTCAATGTTCAGCTTATTTAGCGAATAATTTTTTGAAAGTGAAATTGTTTACTTGAAGAGATGTCTTTCAGCTGCTGTACCTTAATTATCGCTTTCTTTTTTCCAGGACATGGAAATTCAGCCAGATTGGTTTTGAATTTTTAGGCCTTGTACTCCATGATAATATCCCTACTCCAGCATCTGTGGTGTCTCTATTTGTGAAGAACTGCAACAGTGAACTTTTGTATATACGAAAAGTAAGTAATAAATAAAGACTTGTCTACATTAGATCAATAGTCTTCATCCTGATTTTTGTGTAGAAGGAAGGTTTACATAATTTTAAAAAAAATTGCTTTCAATAAAAGTCTGAAAAAGTTATGTTATGTGAATTTGTTGAATTTTTTTTCAGAGCTGGATTTGAGTAAGAAAACTGGTAATATGACATTTTGTTGAGTGTGCTTCCTTTTTATTTGCTCTTAGTTTTGAATCAGTTTCAGAGTGGTCATCTTATCAGTTTAAATGTAAGTTGGGAATGTCTCTAATGTGAAAATACAACAAAAATTTTGTTTTATCAGTCCCTTTCAATGTGTTTGCTCAAATTTGTGTCACAGCAATAGTCTCTGATATGGAAATGATTTAGTAAATGAAGTTTAAAAGTGAAACATAAATATAAAAAATAACATTGATATTTGTGTATTATTCAGCAATGAGAACTGTTTTTTTTTATGCCAGGTGTGACATAGGCAAAGTGATTATTTGTTTTTTATGAGGTAAAAACATTTTACTAGGAAAGTTTGTGATTTGAGTTAAACTGAAGTAAAGTGTCAGAGGTTAGGGAATGTTAAAAACTTGGTACTTCCTTATTTGTTAGTCATAGGTATTTTTTATATTAGATGAAACATTACATTGCTGACTTTTTGAGAATGATAAAACATGTGCGAGCTTCAGAAAATTATATGAAGAATTTCTATCTAGAGCATTATTGGATACAAACATTACAGACTGAGGACTTTCCTTACTTTTGTACAGTGGAAACCATATATAACAGGCCCAGTAATAACAGTCTCCGGTAATAACGGGGATTTTTTCCCCCCATTTTTTACTACTCTTTGTTTGTATTAAAAGTTATCGGCAATAACAGGGCCTCATCGAAGCCCAATTGGTTATAGCAGGGACAAAGGCTTATTAACAATGTGTTAAAAGTAAGAGAGAGAGAAAGAGAGAGAGAGAGAGAGAGAGAGAGAGAGAGAGAGAGAGAGAGAGAGAGAGAGAGAGACGCAGTGATGGAACAAAGCCACGCAAGCCAAGCCACTGCAAGCCCACGCAGCGGGTGAAGCAAGAGAGGGCTGCGGTGTGCCGCAGACTTCAATCTAACCCTAAGCCTAGCTACTCGCACGCGTAATGTGTCATGCGCAGGCCTGCCACACTACCCGTGAATTAATACTGCTGAATTTGTCCACAAATGGTTACTTCCCTTGCATGTTTAATTTAACAGGGATCTGATATAACATGACTTTATCTCTGGTCCCACCATCCCTGTTATATCAGGTTTCCACTGTCCTATCTCCCTGTACTGCCGGGTACACAAGGCATAGAGGAGCTGGCATCATGCTTGTCTGTCCATAGCTACTTTTTTTACTTTTGTCACATCTGTCCCTTGGGTCACACTGATTGTACTTTTATACTGGGTACCCATTGACGCATTTGGGTCGGGTCGGGTCGGGTCGGTTTGCTAGCCAGATTGAGGGCGCAAAGTGGTTATCTTGGCACAAACCAATCACATATTACACAAACACGTTTTTTTTTAAGGTGACGAGTTGGGTGATCGACCTGATCCGATCTCATCTGCAAGGTGCACCCGATATTACAGCTGCCGCTTGTTCTACTGCTTCTTCATTTTCCATTCGTGTTCCAGTACCGTACATGTGTGATAGGGCAATCTTGTCTTTACCATTCTCAGAACATGCCCAAAATATCTTCTTCTCTGCTTTTGCGAACAGGTATATCGCATTTCCTCTTACTTTTCCTTCTTTCAGCTCATGAAAAGTGAAGAACAAGTAAGTGCTTCAGTTATCAGTTTTTCATTCTAATGCCTATCAGTGAAAAGTATGTAATAAGTTGTGTGTTGTTTTAACCTTTTTTTCAGCTCTCTATTAGTGCAGTAACCACAATTCTGGACCTTCAGAAGCAGAAACACAAGAAAGTGCCAATTGATCTAGAGAAAGCTGCTGGAGTTGGTCAGATAAACCACAGCTCTCTGGTCCCGGGAGACAGGCCCGACAATCGGTGGCTGCAGTACAACCCAGCAAACTTCATCACCACCGAGGAACAGTGGAACAAGATGGTCTTCATTGAGAAAACGCACTGGGGATATTATTGCTGGCCAAAGTATGTCATTTGTAGATTAAAATAAGGAGTTAAACCTATGCTTTCTACTCGTGGGGAATAAAAAAAATTATATTGAAAGGAAGGACATTTGGGATTTAAAGTGATGAATTCTTATAAAGGAGGTAGTGGTAGTCTTGTTGAATATTTTTGTGCAGTAGTTTGCTTATTTTGTCATTTAATTTCACTTAATTATTATATATATTTTTTATACATCCTTTATTTTTACTCCTTTGCCTCGTCCTCTATGGATAATTTATCAGTAATTATTTTCATATGGAAATTTCAAACATTAAAAAATGAATCTTCTGCATTGACTAAAATGCACGGCAGTTGTGATAGTTGAAATGGCTGAATGATTGGGAAAATAATATTTGACATTTTATATTTAGGTTTGAAAAGGAAATACATCGGATTGATGACAGGTGGTCATTACAGATTTGTTTTTGGCTCATAATGACAAGCTGTTGTTGGTTATCTTATTAGTCTTTTATGTTTGTTTTTTGTTGTTTCCTTTTTTTTTTGTATTTCTTTTTCATTTATGTCACTGGACCTCATTCAGTCTCAGTGAATGACTCTTTTTTTCTGGATACGTTCTTCATTTGAAAAATGTAAATTTGCAAACCGTAGCAGTTACAGTGCAAGAACTGATGTAAAGTGGGATTATTATCTGCCTTGTTTGATTATCAATACGGCCTTGTAAAAATCCTTTTTGTAAGTGACACACTCAATCTCCTGTTAGGGCCACGTGCTTAGAGGAAAAGTATTCCAAGATGAGATAAATTTGACTGTTGCTCAGACCCTACCATGGCCTTCTGCCTGTTTGTTAAGTTAATCACGCTAATGCTTCACCAGTGTTAAAACTTCACTTGACCTTGGTAAGTACACAACTCTAGGTTAACATGAGTTTTTGTAAAAGATGTTAATTGTTACAGGTAAGGTTTTAAGAAAGTTGGCAAGCTTGTCACTATTTTCTGGTAGGGCCTTTTTTGGGTTAATTTCTTCGTATTCTCTTAACTCCTCAATGGAGATTTGTTACCTTTTCTGTCTCTTTGTCTTAACAGAGAGCTGAAAGCTCCTGCACCCCTCAATGAGCAGCCAAAAGTGAACAGAAGCAGGTCAGAGCTTGGGGAAGCGGAGCTGCCGTTCTATGATTCTTTTCTTCAAGAAGAATATGTGGCCAAGTTATTTGAGTTCTCTGCACTGGAAGAAGAGAAGAGCACTGACAAGTTCAGGCAGTTCATGCTCAAGTTTTACAAGGTAAATATGATGTGAGCGTATTAACCCTTGTCTGTAGGTGGGAGGTGGGTGCTTTGGTATGGTTTGTTCCTTTTCTCCTAGTAAACATCTGTCATCCTTATCAACCCTCCTTCTTTTTTGTGTTTGTTACTCTCTTGTAACACCTCCAATCTTCGGTTTATATTACCTAACTGTTTGGCAAGTGCTGTAAAACTCGTACTAAAAATAAAACAAAAGCTCTTGTTTAAAGTTGCAGTCTTGTGTTGGTTGCTGTAAAATGCTGCAGGAGGTTCTGTTGCCATCGCTGCTGGGTTCCAGGCACATTTTACAATTATGTGAACCATTTATTGCTATAGAGTCTTTGTAGGTAATTTGAGGATTCCAATGGTAGGTCCTACTTCTTTTCTTTCTCTCTGTAGTGCCTGTCTTTATGGGTTGCTCTTGCCCTGCAATAAATGACTGTCGTTGTATCGATATCTATCTCTGTGTCGAAAAACAAGCTAACTAAATACAAAGCCAGCAAACAACAAACAAAGCCAACATGTTAGTGTAGTTATGTTAAGCAGTAGTACCCGTATAGAATCTGTTTTATGTTTTCATTATGACTTTGAGTATCATGGTTATGAATGTTACTCTCTTGATCCCTTCTTTTTACTTTTAATTTTTGATTTCTCGTCTCCTTTCTATTAACCAACTCAGAGTTTGTTCCGCAACTACGGTGTGACATTCCTACCCATCTTCAAACCACACATTGAGAGGTTGGTGAGTGACACGAGCCACGACAAACATGCCAGCAGTCAGCGCTGCGCCATGGAGGCTTTAGGAGGCATCATCACAGGCTCCAAGTACTGGACCTTTCCGCAGGTGCTCCTCCCACTTTCCTGTCGCTTGTTTTCTTATTTTGTCATAATCATATCACACTTGACTTTTGTGAAGGTGAACTTCTTATTAATTGATTTTCGGGATTTATGCCTGTCATTTATCATTTTTTCAGTACTTATGGGCCATAATGTTGTTTTAGTGTGTCCCTTTAAGTCTGTTTCCTGATTTATGTCTGACTCCTGGGTACTTCGAATTATATCAAGCTTTTTCAAAAAATTTTGGAAAGATGAGATGCTTTTTCATTATTCTTTATGTTTAAGTTAAATGTACATCAAGCTATAAAGTCGGATGTTTTGAAACTTACAGTTGTTACCTAGTCAGCACGCTGGGCTTCTGAGAAAATAATTCATGAAAGAGGAGAAAATATTTTGATTCGGCTCGGGTTTGTGATTTAAACTTCACCTTTTAAATAAATGTGTAACTCGGAATACCACAGTGGTTCTAATAAAATATTTTTGTTCTTTTCGCCTTCATTACTAAATAATAAGATGCTTCTCGCTAATTCTGAATGGTAGTCAGAAATCTTCTGCACTCCAAAATAATTTTTTTTGTTGGGATAGTGATTGGTAGTGTGTCGTTTTAAAAACCTGTCTGTAACAATGAGCCAAGACTTAAATGTACTAATTTTGATATTTTTAATCCACAGTTGGAAAGTTTATGGGCATGGATCACCCCTCTACTTGAGAAGGCTCTGAACAACCTGACTGTAGAAACGCTGAGTGACTGGGGCAACTTTTTCTTGCACATATGTGTAAGTACAAGACTATCAATGAAATCTGCAACTTGAAACTTACAATTTTTTAATATGAGGAATGTGTTTTCTTTAAATCCGAACCTTTAATGGATAGAAAACATAAATAAGTAGTGTAATTCGTAATGTGTGGATGATCTACTTTTTCCTTCTCCAGGATATTATACATGTCGGAGGTGTGTTAAAACTTTCTTTCCTTGAAGTGATTTATCTCTGTCAGTATTCTGTGAAGTTAAAGATTACAGACTGATTACAGATCAGTTGGAACAATATCATTTTTAATAACCTGACTCCGATTTTTTGTCACTGGCCATACGTTATCAACTTGATGTTCATATTTCAGGAGAACCGAACGCCCCACAAGCTCCAGTGGTTGTATAAACTGTTACTACAGAATCCGCTCAGTGGAGAGGGAGGAGCTTTTGGAGATTCTGCGTACGTATTGTGACTTTGAGCAGAATTTCAAAAATGGGCATGTCACTTCATCTGTAGCGGTTTATTTGTAATTAATGAGCTGTCAGCCTCGGGGGTGTGCTACTGACGGAAGTGTCTTTAGGCCATTCCCAAAGGGGGGGACATTAACATCTCGAGTTCTTATGCACAGTAGAATTGTAATTGTAAATGGGCTGATTCATCAATGTCATGCTCATAACTGTACTTGAACTGCAACAGGGAACTGCTGCTTTTTCTTTCCTAATCCTTACTATTGTCATTTTTCCTCTACTTCTTTTGTATGTTTGTCACAGTCTTGTGATCAGCTATATCCGGGTTGCCTTGATAGTCGAAGCAGACTTTGTGCTGTTGAAGCGAGAGAGGTGAGCAGAGTAAGTCTGGTTCCCTGTAAGGACTTCTCTGTTGACATTCACCCCTTGGCGCTCATTTGACCTTATGCAGTTGCGAGCACCGTATAACCTCTACTAAAAAAAACCAATCAGCCTCATTCCATAAGTGCTTGAATTTTTTTTATTTATTTATGAAAAAGAGAGTGCCCAAATCAGAACTGGGATTTGAACATTCATTATTTTTCAGTTGAAATCTAGGAAGGAAACAGAACTGAATGGGACAATACCCTTTCGTGCCCCTTCATGTCTTTATTTGAACACAGTCTTTATCTCAAAACTCCCCTAAAATTGACCAGGGGGATTCTGGAATGCAGCTGACTATGTCTTTTGAATGGCGTAGTAGTGGAATAAAGTAATCTTTGTATCAAGGAATTTTTATTAATTGACGGCTTGTTGGGGTTCATACAGAAGGGTGAAGGACACATTATCTTTTTTTCTTTCTGTGTTGTATTGTTTTCCGGGGTGAAATGTAGCCATGATTTTTTTTCTACTCTTATTGAATAAGGTCGCCTAATTTCTGCTTCCACAGTCGCCTCTACGTTCTACAGCAAGCCATCCTCCAGCAAGAGTGGCGCATTCCAGATTACCTGCATGCCATCGTCAACTATCTGAAGCCTCACTTGGCTCATAACTATAAGAGTGTTCGAGACAGGATGGGAGCGTAAGTTACCAGGATTGTGAACTATTTATTGTTAATCTTAGAAATCATTTGGTGAACAGTGATGCGAGAAATTTTTTCTGGAAAGTTGTAAGCAATTTATTTCAAGAAATTTATGAGGTGTGGGATGGATTTTTCACCATGCCTTGCTACTTTTTGTCTTTTTGATTTCTCTTTACTGATATAATGTTGAAGGATGTAAAAGTTACATTTTGTTATGGAATTCCACTCTGCAATGACTCTTCAGTCAATGTTACAATTCTTTTTATTAATGAGCTACAGTCCCAAAGTGTCATACCATTTAAGTTTGTAAGTTTCTCTCTTCTGCAGGCTTTTGAGCTCTTGCATGCATATGGATTTCTGCATCAAGACAAACAGTGTGACCCGTTCTCCGAGACGATGTGACCTCATCAACTCAGTGCTCCCACAACTTGAGCAGTTCAAAGAGATTTTCCAACCTGCCGCAGGTCAGAGCTGAAAATGTTTATCAAAATCTATATTTCAAATAATGGTGGCAAAGTTAAGAACTAATTATATTAAAACTGTAAATGCAGTCACTAATGCATGTGGCCAGACTCTGCTTTATATCTTCATCAGTCTTGAATTGCCAGTCTGTTTCTTAGTGACCTCACCAAATAGTCGTAACCCTTTGTACTATTTTAAAATTTCTGCCAAAATTTCCTCTTTTAACGTACAAAAATTAATGTAGAAATGGAGTTCTAGATACAAACTAATATCAGTCATTGGACTTTTGTCAATTTGTCTTATTGGTACGGAATACGGCACTCAGGGCTGGTTTTCGATTTGTTTGGAATGGTATGTGGTTTTCTGAGCTCAAACCCATTCTGAACTATATCGCTATGTTGAGGGAAATCATCCTGCAGTGTGGGTCAGTGTTTGTATGCTTGGAGGGTGAGTGGTTCAGCTCTTACTGTAACAAGGGTTTTGACAGTGTTTTTGAAATAATTTTTGTGTGTTTTTTTGGGTGTATTTTCAGGTGCATCGTCCAGTGTTGAACCAATGGAAGTTGACGCAAACCCTGATGACTCAGAGGAGAAAAAGGCAGCTGTTCGGTTGTGCAAAACAGGTCAGTTGTAGACAGTTTTATTTTTCTTTTCATTTGTGACTTATGTAAGTACTGGTATTGTCTGTAGGATCTGAGCACACGTCTGCTTTCAGTCCCATTAAGTTGTAAATTTGAATTCTACAAAAATGGTTTTGGCTTAGATGATTCTTGCAATATATTTCTTAAAATTGCTTTAGAAGTAGTCTTCTGTTGCAAGTTATATTTATCTGAAATCTTTCCAGTTTTGGAATTTGTGACAATCAAACTTTAAAAAGACAAAAAACAAAATTTTTAAAGTCTTAATATATTGAAAAGTCAGCATAGACATACAGTTGTAATTGTCCAAGACGGCCACCTGTTTGCGCAGGTGATTGCCTTAGACAGGTGGCCGTTGAAGGAGATTCGGATGTTCTTTGAAATGGGTCATTGACCTCAGTTTGTATAGAAAAGTTGTATGTTTTGAAATTGGGTTGGATTGATCTTTCCTTTACGTTTTGCCATGAAACAAAATTTCAGTGTTCTCACTTTTTGTCACCAGTTGTGCACTGGGTGTCTACTTGCTTCCAGCGGAGTTTGAATCCTTGTACAGTGGAGGTTTTCAACTTGCTTCCAATTGTAAGTATTAAATACTAGATGCTGAGACATAAGCTTGTATGTGTTACTGTTTATAAGTTGAAATACACAGGTTATTGAAAGTCTGAGGAAAGAGTACGGACAATAATCTTTAAGTCTTCGGTTCCTGTGATTTTATTCTCCAAATTTACATTTCAGTTATAGTGTAACAGTAACATGTGCATTTATAATTGATATAAATTTTAAAAATAAAATGTTTCTGCATATCTATTAATGTTTGTTTGAACATTGTCTTAGGGAATTAAAGCTAATAGAACTTTGTACTCAAAACCCTAGTGACTCTTTAAAAAAACAAACTCTTTAGCTTTTGTTAAAAATAAATTTGATAGATAACAGTTTTATAATTATTTTTTTCAATATTTTGTTTAATTTGAGTTCTTAGAGGATATACTTATTTCATATTTAATTTTTTAAAATGATATAATATTCTTTTTCAGATTGAAAACCTTCAAAGTGAAGCAAATGATGAAGATTTAAGAGACAATTGCAAGAGTGTGATACTCAACCTTTCTCAAGTGCTCATACCTGAGAATGTCATGGCACCAGCATTTGCTACTATTAAAGAGGTAAATACGATCATATTTTTCCATCCTTTCGTGCATGGACTTGTTTTAACGATCAAATATCCTTATCCCTAGGAGACTTTATAAATGTATTTTCAAAGATTGCCTGCTTTTGATTTGTTGTAAGAATATAAGTACGTTCAATTGCGAATGGTTTTTCAGGAGCATTTACGTAAGAACAGAAGATCAGGCCTTCGTGTATAAAATTTGTGCTGTTTTGAACAATTTTCACAACTCTGTGCTAACACTTTTGCAACTTGTAGGCCAAGAAAACTTAATATTAAGGGGAGGTTTGGGGAGTGTTTGGGTGTGGCTAGGTCCTTCTTCTTCTTTCTAGACTATTTTCCTTGTCTGTTCCTGGAAAGACACAGGTGATTAGAGGGCGCAAATGGTAGGTCTCAATTCTTTTCTCTGTTATTTCTGTCCGTCTGTCTTACTTTTTCCCAGCACTAAATGACTGTTATAGTGTCGTGGTGTGTTGTCATGTCAATATGCTTCCCTCTGCTCAAATAACCAAAGCGGGTGGTTGGTGGGTTCTTTGGTGTGGTTTGCTCCTTCTTTCCCATTAGACATCTATCATCCTTATCTCTCCTTCTTCTTTTTTTTGTATGTACACCCTAGTAACACCTCTGATGGTCTTCGGCCCTTACATGACCTGATTGTGTTGTAAGCGCAGTAAAACTCAAACCTGTTTGGATGTTGTTGTTCCCGTGTTACTTCATCGTCCACTAAAAGCACCATCTGGCTCCTGCTTCAGGTGTCTGGCCTCAAGTCTTGGCACGCCCGCGCAGCCATCCTCAACTACATGCAGCAGATGGTGTTCGGCAACTTCTTCAACTTGCAGGACCCGGAGCAGAAGAAGAACGTGCAGTCTCTGTTGCTTCACTTGCTGTGTGACGAGCAGCTGGAGGTAAGGACTGAATATGGTCAAAAACTCTATCCATGTGGGGG